TAAATATAAAGTGCTACTGAAGAGAGGTAATAATCTTTCTAAGTTAGTAGCTGACTTAAGGCATTGTGAAGGCTCCCAAGGTGGACTTGGAAGAGGAGAAACGAGAGGTAACGAAACAGCATCCACTTGTTACATCTGACTAAAAATAGAGAAAAGGATGAAGTCCTGACAAGATTTAGAAATAAATTGGGGAGGGGGGCCACACTTAATCAATAAGGGTACCTGATCTCAAACCAGGTGAAGTGGGAACCACAGTGAGACCCATGACTATCTGTATATCTAACCCTGAATTGCACCCCACATCTTTAAAAAAAAAAAGAAAGAAATTAGGACCATCTGTGGGTTATAATAAGAAAATTTACCTATAAAAGTTTAAAAGGAACAGTGAAAGTGAATCCTGTGATCAAGAACCCAGAGTCTTCGGCACCCAAAGAGAGAAAGGACACTGGAGTGCTTTGGAGCTGGACGAAGTGGCGCTTACAGAACCACTCTCCTCACCCTTTTAAGGCAGCAGATCCGCATGGCCCTATCTCATCTTCCAGTATCTGCCAGATCTGTTCTTGAAGCAGTCACTGCCGGCCTGTTAATCTCCTGTTTTCATAGCCCTGAAGTGCACACAGCCTCCATCTGCTCATTGCTTACGTTATGTTCAGTTTTTCCAAGAATGTGTTCCCAGCCTATTTTTCAGAAACTATTCTGACGTGATGGTCACAGTTTCCTAATGCCCCACATTGCTATCATGCAAGCCAGCCCTCAAACTACCTGTGCCTCTTATTTGCTTGGACTAGAGGAAATTCCAGTTGGTGTGTTTTGGGGTTTTTTTTCAAGGGTAGAATACAGTTCATTTATCTTGGGCAATTTTAAGTAGATGAGGAAATTTTTATTATACACCAGTAGAAATCCCATTCAGACATATTGCTCAAAAAAGTTAGAATAATACCTATTAGGCTAGGCCCATGGTGGCTTACATCTGTAATCCCAGCACTTTGGTAGGCTGCGGCAGGAGGATCCCTTGAACCCAGGAGTCCGAGACCAGCCTAAGCAACATAGTGAGAACTTGTCTCTACAGAAAGTCAGAAAATTAGCTGGGCATGGTTGTGCATGACTGTAGTTCCAGCCACTTGAGGCCAAGGCAGGAGGATCACCTGAACTCAGAAGGTTGAGGCTGCAGTGAGCTGTAATCTTGTCACTACACTCCAGCCTGGGTGACAGAGTGAGACCCCAGCTCAAATAATAATAACGATTAGCTTTAAAGGAAAAGTTAGGTGAGAACTTAAAACCAGAAGGTGCCAAGTGTATGAGGCATAGTTTGGGCATGAGGAATGAGCCTGTTCCACGATCTCTCCATGGGCAGTCAGGGAGTGGGGGCCCTGTCTGTTACCTGCACTGTGGGCTACCTTGGCGGCTGTGTTTCATTTGCAGATACTCATGTTTCACAACTCCTACGAGGTCGGACTCAAGGCAGGCCGTTTTTGTTCAAGGAAGACTGGGATTGAGCCCCAGCTAGACAGGAGTGGATGAGGTAGAGGGTCCCTGTAGCACTGATGACAAGAGGGACCGCCCACAAGAACGGGTATACCGAGAGCAAAGCCCTCCCTCTTGATGACTTGACCCCACATTGACCAGACGGAGGATAGACATGGGGTCGATCCTCTCAGGGGCCCACTATTTCTGAGAGGTCATGGCTTGTGGCGCTTTGAAGAAAAAGAGAAGAGGGGATAGCTTGAGGATTTGGTAACTTTCCTGCCTTTTTTCTGAAAGAATGAGCCATCATGGCCAAGTCATCCAACAAACAGGGAGAACTTCAAAAAATATATATATATTTTAAGAGCAACAGCACTTAGAGAGTTCGCTTCTCTTCCTGAGAGGCCCTGTGGATGTGCCTGGTGACTTCTGACCACCCGGAGGCTCACTCTGCTTGTTTTTTCCTCTAACCAAGATGGTGCACCATGAGCTGGGGGTCAGCTTTCAAAGACTATTCTGTAAAGGAGAGGGAAGTTTTAGGAAAGTTCTTCCGATAAAAAGGTGAGAACCAAGCGTGGATGTTGGACAGTCATACCTATTCCATAGCACTCTGAACAAATCTTGACACTCCTAGAGCGACTCACAGGAGATTCAGCCATTATCACTATTTTATAGCCCCAAATTGAATTGGGACATTTTTGAAGACAAAAGAAGGCAGTGAAACCTACATGTGTGCCTTCATCGGTGTCTAAATTTGTCTGAGAACTTTAGGCCATTTTGTGTTCAGTGGACCCATATTTAGATGAAAAATAAGTAATCGTTTGAGGCCAATGTACATGGTAATGAGTAGCCAACGTGACCACTGTTATTAGTACAGAAATGTATTCAATATCAGGACCATTGATGTCTGCCTGCTTTATTTAATCGTGTGTCTTTTATCTGGAAAAACAGGTCTTGCTGCATAAAGATGAGGGTTCAGGGAAGGATTTAAGCCTTGTGCCATCCAAATTAAATTCTAAAAGCCAGGAAATTCATCATTCTGACATCCCTCTGCAGGTGCAGAGTGCGTATTGAAATAGATGTCAACAAAGTGAGGTCCGATGGAAGACCCAAAATTTCACGTGTACCCAGACCACTTACATACCCAATCCTGACTTGTACCCCACATCTTCAAAATAAAATAAAATATTAAAAAGTAAAAATAAAAAAGAAATAGCTCTTGAGATGTGTCTTGTTTGCATGCAAGATACACTTAACAGATCATGTTAATTGGAAATAATATCTGAGTAAGGCCTTTAAAAGACCTCTCATAATGTAGATATTTTTCACATAAAATTGAGGCACTCTTTTCTCAAATGGCAAAAATGAATGTTTCCCCTGATTACCTATATTTTGAATTTTGAGGTTTCCTTTTAAACAAGTTATATGAGAGGCTTTTCTTGAGTTTTCTTCAAAGTTCAATATCTATGACTGTATTAGAATCTAGGTTTATAGATATTATATATAGATATTATAAAATTTACTAATGCTTTATGTGGATCTTAAAAATTGGGAAGTTGGAGAAAATATTTTAAAAGAGACACTCCTTGCTATTAAGATTTTCTATAATTAAAAGTATAGCCTTACAACATGTAGGAGGAATGCCCTTCATCAGAACAAAACATTTTTAGGTACCGAGAACCTATTAAACAGTCCTCCATTTTGAGATTTTTGTGAAAATTTTTATGTAAGGACAAAGTGGACATTATTGACTCACGGGTAAAAATTTCCAGTTGTATCTCAAAAAACATTTTCCTGGTAATTTCAGTGTTATCAAAATAAATCAATAAAGCTAGTTTGCCTTGGATCCCATTGTTCCATAGAAGATCTAGTAACAAGAGACACAGTTGTACTGTGGAGCTTCTAAGTGGAAAATTATCTTCATTTTCAAGACAGCAGATGTCTCTTGAGGAAATATATAGCTACAGAGTGACAAAACCGTCAGCCACTCAAAAAACAACATTGTAGAGGGGACAGAGGGGAGCTCTGGAAATCCTCAGGTTTGCCTTTAAACAATACCTGCTCTCATGTGATTCCCAAGAATATTTAGGCCAATTAGATGGAGCCAGAAAAGCAAAGTCAGGTGTTTGTTTAGGTCCCTGATTGTTGCATAGTCCCTTGCCCTTTTTTTTTTTTCTATTGAGCTCATCCCAGGAAGAAAAACCCAAATGGAGGGGCGGCAGGGGGAGACAGTGGTTTGACCTCCTTCTATGCAGGAGCAGCGACAGCCCTTGTTATCATTTACCTTGAGGAGCCAGAGAGGTCAAGGGAGGGCCACACAGACATAAGCAGCCTTTGACAGGATACAGTGACGCCACACCAGCCCTGTGACCATAAGCCCTGCCAGCATTCTTCTTCCTTTGAGGTTAAATAGAGGAAGGGAATGGAAAGGAACCTTCAACTAGCCCTGGAATCCACCAACTAATTGAAACGTAAGCTGGATGTGATTAGATCAGTAATTCCCAAAGTGTGTTCCAGGGAACATCAGTCCTATAGCACCACTCTGGCTGTGTGTGTGTGTGTGTGTGTGTGTGTGTGTGTGTGTGTGTGTGTAAGTGTGTAAAAGAAGAGGGATCCAATTGTTATCAAGTCAAGAAATGCTGGGTTAAACAAAATTTACTAAGTGCTTAATGTGAATTATTTCAGTTAGTCTTGATAACTACCTTTTGTTGCGGATACTATTATAATCCTTCTTTGAAAAATGAGAGACGTCTCAGAGAGGTTAAGAAACATACCTAAAGCCACTCATTTGGTACTCTGGGATTCATTGCCAGAGCCGATTTATCAACTCTGTGATCTTCCATGGCCTTTTATTTTTTATTTTTGAGTTGTAGTCTTACTCTGTCGTCCAGACTGGAGTGCAGTGGCACACTCCCGGCCACCACAGCCTCGACCTGCTGGGCTCTGGCAATCCTTCTGCCTCAGCCTTCCAAGTAACCAGAACTATAGGCATGTGCCACCACACCCAGCTAATTTTTTTATTTATTGTAGAGACGAGGTCTTGCCAAGTTGTCCAGGCTGGTCTCAAACCCGTGGACTCAAGCAATCCACTTGCCTCCGCCTCCCAAGGTCCTGTGATTACAGTCTGAGCCACCAAGCCCAGCCTTATTTTATTTATTTTTTTTTTATCTTTAACTTTTTATTTTGAAGATGTGGGGTACAATTCAGGGTTACTTTTTAAATGGCATATATGTACCCCTGAATCTCTAAGAGATGTATAGGGTACATTTCTTGAATGTATTTGGCCATAACTTTTTTGAAGTTCTCTGAACTTCCCAAGAGTTGAAATTTCCAGGGAACCTACTTTGAGAAGCGGTGAGCTAGGTTTCATCACAGAGCCCCTACTCAAACAAACCTTCCATTTGGCACACCAAAAGTTTGCTGTTGCTGACGTCTAGATACAAAGAACTAGGATAAGGTGGTGACATAATGTATTCTGAGTTTAGAAACCTCTGTCCTGAGGTGGTCTGAGTTACGTCTTCTCCTTTCCCTTCCAGGTGTTTTATCCCAAACGTCTATGCAGCTTTGTTCACGGCCGCTCTCCTTCCTCTGATGTGCCTGGTGGTGGTGTTCGTGGTATTCATCCATGCCTACCAGGTGAAGCCACAGTGGAAGTCATATGATGACGTCTTCAGGGGAAGGACAAATGCCGCAGGTTTGAAAGGAACTATATTTGCACTCTGGAGATGGGAACTTTTTGGTTTTTTATTACTCTTTCCCATTTTATTTTAGATTCCAGGGGGACGCGTGCAGGTTTATTACATGGTATATCACCTGGTGGTGAGGTTTGGGATTCTACTGAGCCAGTCACCCAAGTGGGTGAGCGTGGTGGTACCCAATGGGCGGTTTTCAACTCTTACCCCCTCCACCCTCCCCACCCCCTTAAGAAGTCCCCAGTGTCTGTTGTGAATATAGGAAATCTTTAACCTAGTGAGAAGATGTCACTGAATTTTTTTTAATCAAAAAAAGAGTGAGGTTAGGCTCTGTTTTCAGCTCTGAAGCCATAAATTAAGCTATAGCCTCCCAGTTTCTCCTGCTTCTTGGTACTTCCTGACTTCTCTCTTTCTTAGGGCTTTGCAGGCTTCATTGCTGGTTCCAGTTTTGTCCTTAAGATATTCATGTCAGGGCCTGGGGCAGAGGCTCATGCCTATAACTTCAGCACTTTGAGAGGCCGAGCTGGGAGAATTGCTTGAGCCCAGGAGTTTGAGGCCAGGCTGGGCAACATAGCGAGACCTCACCTCTACAAAAAATAAAAGAATCAACCAGTTGTGGTGGTGCATGCCTTTAGTCCCAGCTACTTGGGAGCTGAGACAGGATCGTGCCATTGCACTCCATCCTGGGCAACAGAGTGAGACCCTGTCTCAAAAAAAAAAAAGTATTGATGTCCAAGTAAGTGAGTCCCAGCTTTGGAAGTTGCTTTCCTAGCTTTCATCAACTCAAGCAATGATAGCCTGTGTCAACCTGTGAAATCTATTCATTTCCCTCTGGTTCTGAGACGTCTTCACAGAGGAACAAACCCCCACAGTGCTCGTGAGTGCTGTGTTTTGCATGTGGAATTCTGACTGTGCTGACAGATGTTTAAAAACATATGTAATCAGACAGCTTCGTAAGTGGCTACACATGTCTGGTTACTCAAGAGTGCAAGTCTCTCCAGCTCAAATTGGCTTTCCCCTCAGCTCATTTTTTCCCTTCGAATCATACTTAGCCCAGGTTTTTATGATCCGATTCTTTTTTTATTGTTGTTGTTAGATTAGGGTCTCTTAGGAATTTTTCTTTACCAGGAACAATACACCTCCATACCAAAAACTCTCTCTAACAAGTTGTTGAGTGCCTGGGATATTGGGAGCAACTTGGGAGCTGGGGGTGGAGGATCCCTCTGGGGCCAGTGAAGAGAAGTCCTCTCTTTTTTAAGCTGTTACAAGTCTAAAATCAAATGAATGGAAGTTTTAGAGGAATTCTTCACATTTTAAGTGCTTGTCAGTGTTTAAACCAGATCGTATAGATAACATCCCTAGAGTCGTGTCTGACACATTACTAGGGACTCAGTAGATACTTACAGGATGCCACTCTAATGTTAAAAAGAGGGGGAGGAGCTTTTAGTTCCTAAATTTGATCAGGGATGAAGCAAAAACATTCTGCTTATAGTATAAAGAGAAGGAGTTCTTTTATATGTGTTCGTGGGTAGTTTGCAGGATAGCAGTGTCTAGTCAGTCTTCTGTGTTCTTTCTCATTTCGTGTGCAGTCATGGCATTGCCAGTAATATTATTCAAGGTTATGATTAATCTTGAATTCTTTAGTCAAAAAATAATATCCAATGTAGAAATCCTACTTTTTCATGGGACATAGAATTTATCTGGAAGCTATGCTTTTAATCAATTTTATTTTATTAAAATGGACGGGAAGGATGTTTGTTTCTTCCCTAGATGACAAGACTTGTTTTGTTTTGGATATAATGTAAAAATACCGGTGTTTGTATGTCTTTAGCAGTGATCACGTGAGGGTCTAATGTAGTGAGCTAATCCCTGGAGTGCCTAAAGTGGCCCCATTCACCTCTTGGATGTGATCCATGGTGAATAGAGTAGATGAAATGCCACTCAGATTGTCTGAAAAACAGAGCCCTCAAACACTGAGTATCATGCAATAGTTCCAAGACAGTCGTATCTCAACTAGGGAACCCTCTCTTGCAATTCAGATATTAATAGAAGTATTGCTGTGTTGTAGCTTTTCAAATAGAAAATCATTGATGGTATTTCTAATCCCGTATTCCCATGATAATTCGGTCCAATAGTCATTATTTCATACTTGGACTCTCACAGCATCTTCCTGATCTTCCATGTCTTCTCCATTTCATTATCTTAGATGTCTGTATTTTAAAAGCATAAAGTGGGTTCCCTCACTCTCCAGCCTCCAGCATTTCTTTTTCTTTTTTTTTTAAAGATAGGGTCTCACTTTGTAGCCCAGACTAGAGTGCAGTGGGGTGATCACAGCTCACTGCAGCCTCAAACTTCTGGGCTCAAGTGATCCTCCTGCCTCAGCCTCCTGAGTAGCTGGGACTACAGGCATGCACCACCATGCCCAGCTAATTTTAAAAGATTGTTTGGAAAGTCAGGATCTCACTATGTTGCCCAGGCCAGTCTACTGCTGGCCTCAAGTGATCCCCTAACTCAGCCTTCCAAAGCGCTGGAATTACAGGTGTGAGCCACTGAACCCAGCCCTCTCTCCAGCATTTCATTCAACGGTTCTCTCACTGCCCAAAGAAACGTCCAGCCTCTTTAGCATGTAAGAGACCTCACAGTCAATCCCTGGGTCAACTTTATAGTCCCAAGTTAGTTTCTGTTTATCTTGCATTCTGGCATACCAATCTATATACTCTTTTCTAAAATTGCCTGAACAGCCATCTTTGTTCATGTAAGGAAATCTCTACTTTGAGCTCTCCACCATTAGTTGACAAAACCCATGTGCTCAGTAAGTAATGTGGGAAGATGTAGATGAGAGAGAGAGGTGGAAGGGGCTTGTCACCCTCTCATCTTCTTCATCAGCTCCCCAGAGCTGTCCAAAATAACTCCACAAAGCAAAAGAGTATGCTTGATAAGCACAAGTTCATTTCCCTAGACCCCACTTTACTCCTTTACAGAAAATTCTAGAAGCTCTCATGTCCTACCTTTTCTGTGAAGCCTTTGGACTTACCTCTTTACAGAATCACACCAAGTGAGAATTGTTCATTCCCTCATCTATGCCTTTAAAGCACCTGTCCCTACAATCATTATAGCACCTATCTTAGAATGGAGTGGTGCCTTGTTCTGGTGAGCATGGTTGGTAGATTTTTCTTAATAAACTATTAATTCCTTAGGCAGTGTGCAGTGGCTCTTGCTTATAGTTTCAGCACTTTGGAAGCCCAAGACAGGAGGATTGCTTGAGCCCAGGAGTTCGAGACCAGTCTGGCCAACATAGTGAGACATATAAAACATTTAAAAATTAGCTGGCATGGTGGCACAAAGTCTCAGCTACTCAGGAGGCTGAGATGTGAGGATTTCCTGAGCTCAGGAGGTCAAGGCTGCAGTGAGCTGTGATCATGCCACTAACTTCAGTCTAGGCGACAGAGTGAGACTCCCAACTCAAAAGAAAAAAATTATGAATTGCTTAAGGGCAAGGGACATTTAGTATTCATCTGCGTGTTTCCAGGGCCTTCAAGAGTACTCAGTGGATGCAGGACCATAATGAATATTTGTTGAATAAATTAATACATTAATAGTCATCAAGGTACCACAAAATCTCATAATTGCAAAAGATTGATACCCAAGCTAAATATAACATGAAGAAGAGAGATTGTAATACTATCAAAGTAGAAATTAAATAATTTATCTTGTTGATCTGTTTGTAAGTATCCCTTTTCAAGTTACTATTATTAGCACCATTTTTAAAATGTTTCATTGACTTCTGTGATTGCCAAAACTATATGTTCAGCTTTGACCTCAACCTGATCTCTTATATTTTTATTTGCAAAATACTGTAACTCACCTTCATTTAAATATACACCACTTAGCTAAAATTCTAAACTTCTACTTAAAAAAAAACAACTATCTGCTCTACCAAGGACCACTTGACACTCTCTTTGTATCTTTTTGCTAAAATTTCATCACACTGACCTGTAAAATATTCAGTCAAGATGGTACTGCAAATTCACATTTTGCCCTCTGCCCTGCTCTGTATACAGAACAGTTAAAGATAACATCCAGCAAACAAATATTAAAAATACAGTGAGCATCTCTATAGAACAGAAATCCAGCAGAAACACAGACTAGGTGAGCTGGCCTGAAGTCATGGACCAAATGTTTCTTAGGACCAGAAGCAGATAGAGGTGGGGTAATTCATTAGGCCCAGAATCTTCTATGGTGTCTATAGAACTGTTCTCCAAACTTGTCACTCCCTTTGCAGATTAACTGTCCCTGAAAACAGGAGTCATTTTATATCAACACGTTTGTTGGTCATAGTGAATACAAGTATCAATCCCTCACACTGTACATTTTGAGTGACGTTTTTGTTCCTGACATCTTTAGTTTGAAATAGAGTTCAAATAAATTGGATGAGACCCAAAGGAAAGGGGAGAACAGAGAAATGAAATACACTCAGGGCTGTTGACACCCACCACCAACTCCTCCCTCAGTGAGATTGGCCTGGAACAGAGTACATCTTGGCTTGACCCCTTGACGACTGTGAATCAAAATTTTGAAGGTCAGTGGCTCCTAGTGAGATTAACTGGCCCCTACTTCTCTTCAGTGGGGTAGATGGGCAGAGGAGACTGAGGTATGATAAAGGCGTGCCCCTGAGCTAAATTCCAGTGTTTCCAACAGTACCTTAACCAAAGCCTGTAATTTTCAGGTTTGGTTTTGATCTCTGGCAGTGATACGCCTGTCTCTCCTTCTAGACTCATTAGAATGTACTGACTCCTTTCTGATTCATCATCCAGTCCTTTTATGAGGAATGATTCATAGATCAGGAGAGGGAAATTAATTTGAATAGAAAAAGGAAGTAGATGATTGCAAATCCTTTTCTTATAAAAATCCCACACATCGGTTTCAATATGATATAAAAAGATGGAAAGGTGGCTTGACCCAGCGAGTCGTGTCCTGTGAGCCTGAGGTATTTGGAATCTCC